TGGAGTGTAGATTGATGTGGAAAAAAAAGTTTAACAAGGTTGCAAAAAATGAGGCACTGTACATGTTCATTTCTACCCCTGGTAACGAGGAACTTTCATCTTTGCAGTAAGTGATTTTTGCATATACAGATTGTTTTGCTGAAACACACACCTCTGGGCTGAGTACAGCAGTGCTGTCACTCGGTACATCTTCTTCATAGCCCTTATTAAGGAAACTCTCCGTTTCCTGTGCTCCGCTGACCTCACTCGGACATTTTCCATAGCTGTGTCTGGGGCTCTCGCTCCCCTGGGAAAGGTCACATTTGGCATCGCCCAGGTCAGAGGGTGTGCACGACATGCGTGGGGACCCATCCTCATCCTGATAGGGTGGAGGCTGCAGCTCATCCAATGGTGGAGTCCGTCTCATCCGCTGGATACAGTTTACTGATGTGGAGCAAAGTGAGAGAGATGCATTTAGTGCCATTTAGCTCAATGTTCTCAAGCAATATGAAAAAGCAAAAAAGTGTAATGTGAAATGGCAGATAGCATCTTTAATTTCTTCAAAAGTGCATTACTTGGAGTGAAAGTAACTCTGCACAAGGGCAGAATGAAGCAGGATTGTAATCTCAGTAACTCAATATAATTCATTCTGACATGAGACTGAAGCTGCAGCCTTTGTGTTTTTAGGAGACCAGAACAGTATCTATTAGGCTTGTAATTTATGATACAACTTGTTATATGGCATTCATAGCTCTGTAACCCTAAACTCATTTCAAGAAAAGGTCAAAACCTGACCTTTTAGTAAGAATATCCCTAAAACCTGCACCTTCATAAATCATTCAGTTGTCCTCCAAGAGCTACAAATCACTGTGCATGTGTATGCGTATGATTAAATTAAACAAATCAGTGTGTTTCATTATTTCAAATGCAGAAAATGAAGAAAATTAGGGGATATGCTGATGCTTCTAGCGGCTCTGTGAGACTCTGAAATTGAGATGAATGGCAAAACGTGGTCTGATTTACCTGCATTCACTCTACAAGTTAAACTGCTCTGTAAAGAGAATGAACCAAGTAGCTGTTGCCATAGTAACATGCGGCTGGTCAGGACAGGAAGATTTAGCGATCTCATAAATACAGCGCATTCTCTCTCACACACACGCACACGCTTCTGTTGGAGTGTGGCTGGGGTAACTGGTTCTGACTATTGGGAAGAGACATTGCTGATGCTGTGAATTTTCAAGTGGGGGATTAGTTATCCACTTTCTCTAAACTCCCTCACTTCCTAGATATTAGTTCTCATTTAATACAATAACATTTGTTACTAATTGGAATATTAGGATAATAATTGAAAACTGTAATAATAACAACAACAATAATAGTTGTTATTAGAATAATAATGATAATAAAGCATTATTATTATTATTATTAATCTATTTCCCAGTTTTAAATTATGCTGAGAATACAATTTGAAATAAAAAATATTGTTATTATTCATAAACAACAACAACAATTACTAACAACAAAAACTGTTTTTGCAGCTTAACTTTTCAAATTATTATGCTGATAATACATTTTGTAATGAAAATTATTAAATTATTATTATTATTATTAATCTATTTCCCAGTTTCAAATTATGTTGATAATACAATTTTTTAATAACAATTAGTATTGTTATTATTTTTAAACAACAACTATAATTATGAATTAAACAACAACAAGTTATTATTAAGTTATTACCAACAACAAAAATAA